ACAGCAGATATTTATCCTCTCAAGTCTGATTCCACCTCGTCTTTGTCTGTGTTTTAGAAAACAACTAGAGATTTGTAGTAGTAGTAGCTGAGGTAAGGAATATAGACTCAGCATGGTAGTAGCTTCACCAATTCACCATTGCATAAGTTTTGAAACAATGATCGCTGCAAAATTTCTCCTTTGGCTGACTGGATTATCCACTGTGATATTCAAACAACTTATTGGAAAGTTGAAATACATAGGTAGTGTTTTGGTGTGATTTGTTGTCTGAGATTTCAGTGACTTTCTAAGGTATTGTATAAAGTCACAGGCAGTAAATTATATATTTGATTGATGCACAAGTATGTAAGCTGTATATCAATGTCAATATATATGTGTGAATGTTGAAATGACAGGTTTTGTATAATGACCTGATTCTAGTCTTATTATGGATGTATTACTACTAATGGACATAACTGTTATCCTGAAATGTAGGAGAGCAGAATCAATGCTTGTAGACATGTAGATGGCAAATCCAGAACATTTTGAGGTCAATAGATGTTTTATAGAAAGTTAACAGTTGGGAAGATTTGCCAGTGAAGTTAGATGATATAGGATTTGATAAGAAAAACAGTTTCTTGCCCCTATTAACTCCAGGTTGCCCCTATCAGCTCCCAGGTAGGCTTGGTATTAGTGGACCAACACCATGCCAGGAACATATTTAGCAGCTACAGAGCTTGGAAATGCTCTCTGATCCTTGTTTTACTTGTGTAGGACAGATTCTCTGTATCCTGCCAAGATTAGCACCTATCTTCCCTTCTTCAGATCTCTGTCATTTTCATAAGAACTCACAGGCTACCATGGACCTCACTGCACCCATGTGCTGTTGATAATGAGGAAAGCTCTGGGTAGAAAAAAAGCTTCCCCTCTCCAGCTTCACGTCTCCGAAGGAGAATGAGGAATCTGGGTTCAGGATCATGTCATTTAATTCCTGAGTCTTTGTCCCTGCAAACTGAATGGAGCATCTGTGACACACGCGCTATCATGATGGAAAAGGAAAAAGTAACCAACCCAGTCAAAATTCGGAAGCCACTAGCATCCCTGCAATAGCTTCCTCTTACATGATTTTCAAATCAATTTATATCTCCATGCAGGGGTATGGCTTAGGGAAGATAAGCTGTGCCTGGGGAAATAACTACTATGTGGGAGTAGAATTGATTTGTCTGACGACAACAAAAATCTCCTAGTAATAACCTCCATAGATTCCAGTAACATAGAAATCCTTTCATAATCCAACTGAGAAAAAAATAATTCACCTTTTCTTTCTGCCCTTTAAAAGGTCCCACTTGGCCTTTTCGTGATTTATTTTTTATGACCTTAAAAGTTAACATTACAAAAAGGAATTTGTAACAAGTTTATGGGAAATTATGAGGTAAAAGATAAAAACCTCCAGTCAGAGAACAGGCTTGAAAACAAATCCACAAAAATCAAGAATGTCCTGTGATTAATTTGTTCTTTACGATAACTACTAAATTAATGCATATACTTACAAAACTAATTGCAAATGATCAGTGATTGTTGCTTGTACAAATGTAAGGATTTCTTAATGTCATCAAGCTACATTATATAATCAGTCCTTGGATAAACAGCTTTGGTATTTCTCACAAGTACTGTCTTTAATAGTTTTTCCAAATTAATGTCATTTCATTTAAAACATTTTAAACCGATTACTGCTAATCTGGAACCGTGATCAACCTGCTGTCAACTAAGAAATTAAATGCCCTTTTTTACAGGATAGTTGAATTTGTTTTCATCTCATTGATGTTTTTTTTTTTTAATCTATACATTGGAAATATAGATATTTAGGGAGATATTTAGTGTACAATATATTTACCTAATAAATATTATTAATATTTAACAATTATCTTAAAGAAAAGCTGAATATGTAAACAAACACAGCAGTCTTTATTTCATAAGATGGGTTTTAAGCAATTCAAGGATATTATCTGTGAATGTGTTATGTAAAAATTGCCTTATGAGGCAAGTGCAAAAATGCTTTGTAATGAAAAAAATTTCTATGCAAGTAACAGAGAAATGGTAGCATCTCACTTTCATATAGCAAAGAGCAGCACATTGGAGTCCAGTTGTGGAAAATTCCAACTTGTCACACTGAACAAAGTTGCTCTTGCCAAACCCTTCGGTTATACATCAGAAACTGAAAAATACTGAAATTATTGTTATTCTGATTTTATATAGTTAAATTGGTGGTAGTGTACATGACTTATAGAATTTGACATTAGAAACAGTGATTCTTTTAAGGTATTTCTGTGCGTCACCTAAATCAGTGAAAAAAGAACAAGTAAATGCTGAAATTTGTACCCTTCAATTAAAAAAAAGCAATACTATCTTTTTTACCCTTCGCATTTTTAATTCAGCATCAAGTTTTTTAAAAATCCCCATAGAAACTAAAAAAAAAAAAAAAAACCAGTATGTGAGACTGCTTATACAAGAGCTTATTGACTACTAGGGAAAAAAATCAAAAAACATTGACAAATATTTTCAGCAACAAAATCCCCAGGCGAATCCAAGCTGAGTTAAATGATTTGTCAGTCCTTTTCATGGGGCCTTTTTCTCCTTCTGCTAAGCCCTTTCTATCCTGAGATGAAATAGACCATAGATAGACCACATACATGTCTGAAATGTGATTAGCTTGCGCTGTGATAATATCTAATGCTGACTACGTAATAACTTCCAGTATGGATTCAGATGTAATTCATGACACTGAGATTGAGATCCTGTTGGAATATATATACAGGTGGATCAAACATAAGATCGAACATTCATCCAAGTATTTGGATATACAATTCAATCATTTTTTTTTTTAATACTTGTAATAGGGTAATGCTACAAAATAGTTAAGGAGCAAGATACACTGTATGGAGCTGTGCAAGAGCTAAGGTCATGATTATGCATCCTCCTGAATGCTGTGACATTAATAACACCACTTGTAGCCTCGAAGTAGGGCTTTTTTTTTCCCCTCACAGCAGGTAGCCTATTTTGCCCAATTTAGTGTACATAAAACTGCAACTGTCAGCTGCAATGAATTTGGTATGGTTCTGTATTAATTCCCGTATCAATTACTTTTATCCAAAAGAGACTGATACCTGAAGGATCGCTGGAAGGAAAGCCTTTTAAAATACACTATACCTTGAGCATGGTAAAGGCACTTTCCTAGGAGACAGGGGACCTGGATGAAAATACCCACACCGTCCTGGACAGAGAGGTTTTGTGTGCTCCATCTGGGTATCTGAATCCCAAACTGGAATTTTTTTTTAAGGGAAGCATCTCCAGTTCTTTCATTTTATGAGTATTTTTTACAACTCCAAAACAAGAGGAAATTTATTTCTTCATTACCCAATGAAACTCCTAGCAGTTTTAGTTTAACTCAGCAAAATTTTTTTTCTTGGTACAGACACCGAAAATTATTTCTTAGCAGCATTTGCAATACAAGTTTCCTTTGTAAAGACAGAAGCAGTTCACAAATCTGAAAAGCTTATAAACTAAGAAAATGAAATAAATCTAGACAGAGGAATCGTTGATTTATATAATTATTATACCAGTGGATAAATATTAATTTTGTCATCTGCAATCCGAGAATTGTTAGTTTATTCCCTGTTACCAGTTATTTTAGCTGATAGGGGTCTAGAAAAGAAAATATTTAAATAGATGGAAAGAGCAAGAGTAGTTAGCATCCTTGGCACTTAAGATGGCAAGAGAAAAAGCCCGGAGCTCTTTGAGGAGAAAAAAAAAAGAGAAAAGAAAGAAAAAATCAAACACATATGCAAATACTAATATTTTATATGCACGTTTTATATATAAATGTGATTTGGAGATTTGTTTATGTATACAGGATTTGTCCTGTATATTGTATGCCATAGTAGGTAACTATTTGATCCTATTAATGTTATCCTCCTTTACTTCCTCGTTTCTGAAATTATTCTCAGTTCTCTGTGACAAATACTGTATTTTCTCATGTACACTCTGTGCCTCCAAGCACAATTTGTTTTCCTGGGCAATGAGTAATAAACAGCAATAAAACTGTTCCCATTTCATTCCCTTGGCAAGGAAAATAGGAAAAATAAATCAACTAGGATTCCCAGGGCTTTTTGGAATGTGTTAAAATGTCTGTTTTTCTCTGGGAACATCCCCTTTGACTGACTCTCTATAAAGCTAAAAGAAGATGCTGACATCACCTTTGTAGCTTTTAAAGCCTCTGAATGAGCTGCAGGGTCCTAGAAAGAATCCAGAGGGGTAGCTAAATGTCAAGAATGCAGAACCCAGGAATTTACCTGTTCTTTTGAGATATGTTTCACAAATGGCAGCTATGGGCATGGGTTAAGCATAAAGAATACAAAGTTCTTTTGAACTGAGGTATTTCTGGTATAAACAAAAGACTGCAAGAACAGGATAAACAGACACACAACAAATAGTAATGTTACAGAAATTAGCAACAATTGCAAAATCAAGGAGTTTTTTTTCTCTCCTTGGGAAATGAAGCTGATTGATAAGATGAAATATGGTGGTATGTTAAAATGGACCACTCTCTGAAAAGAAAGAAATGGGGCCATGGGACTATGTTAATGCATATTAAAACAAAGTGCCACTTTCCCACACTTGATAAGTCTGCATGCTCAGCTCTTTCTAATCCCCCTGCCTTGGAGTGTTAAATAAAATTGACTTTTAGCCTCCTTGTAATTAGTTTAACATCCAGCTTTAAGAATACAATCGTGTATTAAAAATAGTCAAATTTATTTCATATCTCTATGCTAAGCACTATCTGACAGAATCTCTGATGCTTTATCTAGCAATTAATTTAGGAACAATATCTCTTCTCATGCACAGAGAATGTGTTACCAGGCTGTTCCTTCAAAGCCAGTAATCTAAATTCCTATTATATAGGCGCAAAAGTATTTTTTCCTTCAGCTGCTTGCTGGCTCAGTCACTTGTCTCTTTTCTTGCAGAATGATTCCTGGGGAAAGCAGTACTCCTATGCACTCTTCAAAGCCATGAGCCATATGCTCTGCATTGGTTATGGAGCCCGTGCCCCCGTCAGCATGTCTGATCTCTGGATAACCATGTTGAGCATGATTGTGGGGGCTACTTGTTATGCCATGTTTGTTGGTCATGCGACTGCCCTAATTCAGTCTCTGGATTCTTCACGACGACAATATCAAGAGAAGGTAATTATTTTTAATGCAACCTTTTAAAGTTTTGAGATAAATTAATGAGATGTTTTGAATGTGGAAAAAGCTATACAATTTTGCAAGAAGTAATCTGAATCCTGCAGCAAATTTCACTGAACATGGAATAATTCAGAAAACACTGTGGGCTAAATGTATCCCTGCATGAACCTACACATCTCCCATGCACTGAATGAAATCTTGGATTCGAAACTTCTGTAAAATCTGACACAGAAACTCCATCTCCTGGTCCAGACTGTGCTTCACTCTGTAGGTGCTTGAACTAAGTGGCTTGAATGAGGAACTTGAACAAGGTCATTTGGGTTTGTCTATAGAGGTTGCTGTCATTCCTTTGGACTGCAGTATAGGCATAAGCTTGTCATAAGAATGGCCTTTAAATGAGGAGCACACCTGATCAATTAGTCTTGCCTGAAACTACCTTAGAGAAGTGCTTAAAAGAAGTCTTTATTTGCCTTATCATAATATTGTTTATACTATAATCGATAATGTGCTAGGTTGTCTCCAAGGACCGAAGAGTACTAGCCGAAAAGGCACTCATCCGAAAAATAGAAAAACAGGGATAATTTAGGGAAATAAATATATAGGGAGTTCATTAAGAAACAGATACAAGAATTGAGTTTGTGATATTCCATGTAAGCATGCGTGGAAACCAGGTGGTGATGGTAGGAATGGTGGTGTGAGGAATCAGAATGAACCTCAGCAAAAGATGATAAAGATGTGCAGAGTTACTGAGATGCTTAAAAGAAGCAAAAATTGGATGTTACAGTAAATAGGGAACTAGAGAGAACATGCCAGGAGAGAGGTCAGCTGAACAAACTAGTCAAATCAGAGAGTTCAGAGAGTTCAAACCAGCAAGTAAGAAACATGGCCCGAGCAACAGTATTTGGCATTCCTCTAAAAGGGAGTCAGGAAAGGCAAATTGGGCAGAAATCCCAGTGTAATGTAACGTAAGCCTGGGGGAGAAACCTGGCAAGGAGTATGTAGAGGAGAGAGTGATCCTTGCATTGCTGAAGATGAAAAGGAATGGCCTGAGTTTGATGGGTAAGAAAAAAAAAGGAAAAAATCCCAAAAGACCTGAGAGCAGAAAGAATGTGGTGTTTTCTTTACAGGCAGGCAAGGGGAAGGGCAGACAAGAGTGTATCAATGAAGAGCTTACATTCAGTTTTGTTAAACTGAAGTCACAGCAAGACAACTGGAGGCAGTATCTCAGAGGCATGCAGAGATAAGGGATGTGCTAAAATGCCAGTAACAGAGAAATTAGCTGGTAGTTGACACATTAATCTCATGGCTGTTTAAAACAGAAGATTGCAAACCTGGAGTTATCTTGAACAACAAGTGAAGATGAGAGGTTTAGAAGGAGAGGGTGTGAGCATTAAAACCTCTAGAAATCTGTGTTTTATCAGTGGCTATGTGAAATCTCCTAATCCATTTCAATGTAAAATCAAGGGGCTAATCCTGCTAGGTGATTATATCTAACAAACAGTCTTATTGGGACTACTCCCTGAGCCAGCTCTGCCATCTCAAGGGGAATCAATTTTATCAGAATGAGACATTTGTAAGGAGCTATGGGACAGGACAAGTTAACCATAATGGAAAACATAAAGAAGAAAACCTTAGACCTGTATAACTGCTATTTCATTGGAGGTTGGGACAAACATATGTACACACGCATGCACACAAATGTGAAAACAGTATCAGCTTGAAAGCTCATCATATCCTCAGACTTTCGTGGTCACACCATAGTATTACAGTGTTCTTTCCTAAAAAAAAAATGCCTGGATACTGGCATGGTTACCTAAAAATATGCTATTTTCAACATTAAGTTAAAGAGGAAATCTAAGAAAAAGAAATCCTTAAACAAAGAGAAGTCTATTATTCATGTATTTCATTTGAATTTCTAGTTCATAAACACATTTATATCTGAATATGAATAATACAGAACTCATTATTCTCAAAAATATGAATTAATTGATATGGTAAGTTTGTTGATATACATTTTAGAGTTTCAGGAATATTGTAAACATATACAAATATTCATATATTTAAAACTGTGTTAAGTAAAGTCAGTTTCACTTAGAGGTTGTTGTGGAAATTAAAATCCAGGGAGGATTAGGAATAGGTCAAGTCCTATTGCATTTCTCATGTTTCATATAACAACAAGCAAAGCATTTTTTTTATTCTTTTTGTTTTTTACACACATTTTATTAAGCATAACATGGAAATTTCTGGCAATTTTCACTTTCTGTGGTTCTGAGAATTTACATTCTCTTTGTTTTCAGTTCTTATTTACCATTGGTCTCCTTACATCATAGACCAAAGCCTAACGTGGCATTGTCAATCAAGAATGAAAGAAATGAACCAGAAATTGCATGTTTTTAGTCTGTAAAAATATTTCTCTGTCATTCTGGCTGTCCTTGGCATGGTGATTATTATATGCTAGGGCTAAAACTTACTGTAATTACAGAAAATTTTCTACTGATTTATGAGACCCTGAAATCATTTGTATAGTATCAGCTGTAAAAACTATGCTGACATGTTTGCCTATTCTTGCCTATTACTTTATCAGAATTTAATCATATATTTTGAAATGAGTCTGTGAATGTGGTCTAATAATTATGAAACCATTACTCTATACTGCAAAAGGGTATTGTTTATACTTCTAATAATGTGTCTTTACTTTGCAAATCAGACAATTTTTTTTCAAAGATCAGTTTATGCTAGCTATCTTGTCAGCATATTTTCTAAATTACTGACAGAAAAAAATAGCTTATATTTTACTTAGCAGAAACTTGAGGAAAAGGTAAATCAAATCTTCACCCCCAAAATTCAGATTTTTTATTATAAATGTAAAAATATACTTTGGTTTAGGGCATTGCTGTGTCTTCTTTTGGAATTCAAAATTGGAGAAATCAGGAGAGTGTCTTGATTAGTTTTCTTGGGCTTAAATGCCAGTATCATCTTTTTTTTTTTTTTTTGCTAGTCTTGAATATATAGCATTACATATTTCAAAGATCCATTGTTTCTGTAATAAGAGATACTGAAAATAATGGAATTAGCTTGGTTTGCTTGAGAATATAGAATGTCGCCAGAGACATGGTCTTAGATTCTCCTCTGGGTCAGATTGTGCCCTGTCATCAAAATCTTCTCTCTCTCTTTTTTTTTCCTTTTTTTTTTCTTCTGCTTCAGCTATCTTTTCATAAATATATCTGTAGCACTCAATTAGAAACTAGAACTATCGAATTCTGGTACTTCTTGAAATAAACAAAAGTAGCTTGCAGTGACATATTTGCCGAAAGCACCACATCTTCCCTGTATAAATTCCCCCAAAGATCATGTTATGCAAAACTGGAACAAGCATTACAATTCAAACTAGAAGAAATAAACCCAAGAAGACAAGAAAGAGTTTTTGTTAAGCCAAATATGCGAGACATCATCAAAGAGCATCAGTTTTACCTGTGCCAATCATTGCATGCTGAGAGAAATCAAAGTATGATGAAGAAAGCAAATACCACTGGGCGTATGGTTATAGGCCAAAAACATAATTTATCAGAGATTTTATCACAAATTAACAGTGTTTCTTAGCTGGCAAATGCTGAGGGAGGACAATAAAACCATGTACCAAGAACTGGTACAAAAAAGGATGATTGCTACATTCTGCTCACTTTGAGGAACACTTGATAGGTTTTTCCACTGAAATGAATGGAAATGTTAGCGGAGAAGAAATGCGTGTCAGACCTTTTCAGTTAGAAAATCTGATAGACCATTCTGTCTTATAAAAGAATAGGAAAAAATCAGTGACAACTTAGCACTGATATAAATATCTGATATAAACGGGATCAGTAGTAAATGGAAGACTGATGCAGAAGTACATAGAAGTTCTAATATCCAGGAAGTCACAGGCAGCATCTGAAAAAAAAAATGTACTGTAAAGCAAAGCAGGCAAATAAAAGTCATTAGACAAAGAGTTGAAGACCACTGGTATAATAACTCCTCATTTGGATTTTTATAGTTTTTAACAGGAAAATGATCACCTAATGCTTTGGATGCTGTTGAATAAGCTTGAAAAAGAATAGTTAAAATTTATTTTGTTCCAGTCTGTCATAGTAGCACGAAAGATCTAGGATCTGTCATAAACTAATAGTTTTGTAAGCATACAGATTGTATAGCATACAATTGGCTTGATAAAGTGATAGCTATTAGATCGATTTACATTATGCTATCATTTATATCTTTTTATTTATTGGCAAACAAGTCTAATAACCACACAAGGTTTCCAAAATAAACAGATAAAGCAATTTTATCAGTTGCAAATACTAAAAAGGCAAATGGAAAAAATTACAACTGTCTGCATATAAGGGATGCTGTCCTACTCTTGCGAAGGTATGTTAAATTGTTATTAAAGATGAGGAAGTATTCTGGACTTGACATCAACTTTAAATATCCTAAAGGACATCACATCTCCTTCTTAGCCCATACTATGCTTTTAGCTTTTCTATTAATTTATGGTCTTTTAGCATGTCTTCTGTTAAATCGATCACCAGACTCAAAGAGAATAGATCTTTTAAATCTCAAAGTGAGAAGATCTAAAATGTTCTTTTCTACAGAGAAAAAGCAGTTAATTGCATGCAAAAATAATTTAAAAGCAACTTGCTAATTGGTGTTGGATCTTCTTACATAGACAGCATGGTGATTTGAAGCACAGAAGCTCATTTTTAATTTTCTTTGTAAGCATCCAAGGAAATCTTTACCGATGAATGACATAGGGTTAAGGAAGGAGACAGCTTTAGATTTTACAGCACAAAGGCTGGCACCAACTTTCAAGCCCATCCCTCACAGCTCTGATTTGAGTGTCTAAATTCTGTGCCTAGTGGATGGGGAGAGCCAGACCCTCCACAGTTCACACACAAGAGCCAGCATGCTTGCTGAGCTGGTTTGAGGAAGCAACAGCTGGAGCGAATTTCCATCTTGCCCTTCTACCC